CCTGGAGTTTCTGGTGGGCCTCCCTGCTGATGGGGTCGTCTCAGCGTGGGTGACTCAGAGGGTGGACTGTCTGCCGATGATTCATGCCTATGTCTGCAATGCCAGTGGCTCACCTGCTTACTGCATTTCATCCCAAACAAGGGGGTGCCATGCGGAGAAGCTGAAAAAGCTGAGGGAAAAGGGGAGGAAAGGTAATTCCTTGCAAAAAACTCAAGTGACATCAGTTAACTTTGATCTCCTTTTGCTTTCTCAAGACTTTTTCTTTGGCCTTACCTCCCTGCATTGCTATGATTGCTTTGTGAGGAGGCCGCTGTTGCTGTGACCTGCAGTGGGGGGAGAAGCTAGCTTAGCCTGTGTCCTGATGCCTTTTGTGGGAAACCTCACAGTGTTGGCCTCAGAGCTGCAGCACCTGTTAGAAATGCAGAGTGCCAGGCCCCACCTCAGGCCTTCAAATCAAACTGCATTTCAACAAGATATTCAGGGATTTGGGGCACATCCTTGCTGGGGATGTAATAAAGTGACTCATTAATATTTTAATATTGTTAGCAATAATAGTCAGCGGGTGGATATTTGGCCTAGCAGTTAAGATGCTTGCATCCCATATTAGAGTGCCTAAGTTCAAGTTCAAGTTCTCCTGATTCCAGCTTCCTGATAATGTGCAATTGGGAGATAGCAGGTGATTGCTCAAGTACTTGGGTCCCTTCTACCCACTGGTAGACTTGGATCAGTTTCCTGCCTTCTAGCTTTGGCCTGGCCCAGCTCTGGCTGCTGCAGGTATTTGCAAATTGAACAAGTGGATGGGAGCTCTGTCTATCTCTTTGCCTTTCAAATAAATAAAATAAAATTTAAAAGAATAATGTTAACGAGTGCCATGAGCAGCCTTATGTGGACTCTTGCTGAAACATCTCAACCACGCAGGACCCCTCCATGCTGGGGAGAGGCAAGCACAAGCAGAGCCCGGGGTCACATTCAGGCCTTGCCTCCTCTTAGATTCATGGTAGCCTCTGTATTCTGTTATTGGTCTGAATGGATCAACTGTGTCTGCTCACTCACTGCTCAGTTCTCAGACATTTTTTGAGTGCCGCCTTGGACCAGCTGTCTGAGCTAGGAGGGGGAGCAGATGGAGCTGACCGCTTCAGGACGCTCCCAGTTTAGAGGGGCCCTGGGAGGAGAGACACTGAGGAGAGCCACTGCCTCTGGGCGCCCCCAGTGTTTGCTTGGGGGCAAACCTTGAACTTGAATTCAGCACTTTGTTGCTGCTCTCCAAAAGAGTAACTCCGTGGCTCCAAGCACTAGTGACTGACATGAGTTCCCGCAGATCTTGTGGGGATCTTTGCAGCCACACACAGAGTCAGCTCCTTCTGTCTTTCGACCTTCTCCCTGTAGCCCTGGAATCCCCCACCCACCCCAGTCCCTCCTGCCACAGACTCCTCAGGCCCTGTGGACGCAGCCTCCTGCTGAGTTCCCCGAACCTCCACCTAACACGAGTGTGTCGTCCCCACAGGACTTGGCTGCCGAGAATAACCGGCTGTTCTGCTCTCTGTGTTTTGAAGTCACAGCAGTAGGCAAGGAGCCGTATAATGTAGTTCTGCCCAAAGATCAGGGGGCACAAGGGAGGAGGGGAGTGGCTTCACATACTGGAGACGCTGGTTTTGTTATCCAATTTTTCACCTTTGCTTGCAAACTTTAACGAAAAATGTCTCATTGGAGCTCTGCCTGTCCTATTCTTACTAAAATGGGATGGTCGGTTGGCAGTTAGCTTGAGTTGTCTTTTCTCATGATGTGGTTGTGTTTAACTTATTTTTCAGCTCATTCTTTTTGCAAATGTGTAAACTCAATAAGCAAACCAGATCATTCCCTCCCTGATAAAGAGATTCATTCAGAGCCAGTCTGTTGGCGCTTCCCCCTCTGGACCGTCTGTGACGTGGTTCCTCTGGTCCCTCAGATGCCGAGTGAGATGCACCAGCACAGAGTCACTGGGATCAGCACGAAGGATTCCCCCACAATCAGAAGCAAAGTGAGGAGGACTTGTGTGGGATGGCACGTGTGCCGTCTCCAGGAGCGGGCCTGTGCTCTGCCCAGTGTTCAGGACAGCATGCTGCATGCTGGGATGTGTGTGTGTGTTTTTGCCATGAGCAGGCGATGTCATCAGCCAGAGTGTCTACCTGCACTCGGCTGACAGTGCAGGGGCAGATACAATTTTTGTGTGACCCAGTGAATCAACACGACAAAGAGGAGACTTTGAATGTCTCTGTATATTTGGGACACTTCAAGAAAAAATGCACAAATAAAGCTTGGTGAATTCTTACAGATGGGTCAAGAAATGGAAGGCTACCAACCCTCTCCCTCCTGAAGCCCCCATGATGCCAAATAAAGAAGATTTTAATTATAAAATAAAATCCCAGTTGGGTGGCTGCCGAATTTCTTCTTCTTGGTTTATCAGGATGTACTGTGTGTCATTTTTCTTTGGTGATTAGTTCTCCCAGTGAGCGTTTGTTGGCCAAGCCTAACATTCTTGGCTGAGAAGTTCTGACCACCAGGGGGTCATGTCCACAGGTTTGGTTACAGTCAGTGTTAGATACATGGGCTGTGTACCTGTTCTCTGTCGGCTCCTATGTGAGTTTTTCACTTTTATCTTAATTTGCTTTTTAAAGTTCAGCTTACTTATTTGAGATGGGGAGAGAGTGTGTGTGCTAGCTCTTCCAGTAACTGGTTTATTCCTCAAATACCCACAACAGCTGGGATGGAGCCAGGCCAAAGTCAGGAGCCTGGAACTCAGTCTTGGTCTCCCATGTGGGTTGCAGGAACCCAGGGGCTTGACCCTTTACCTGCTGTACTCCAGGTGTGCATTAGCAGGAAGCTGAATCGGAAGCAGGATGGAGACTCCAACACGTGCACTCCAGTGTGGGCTGCAGGCATCCCAAGCAGAGTCTTAACCCCTGCACCAAATGCCCACTCTTCGCTTTTTAGAGCAGCCTTGGAGTGTGCTGAAAAGTCGTTGTTATTGCACCATTTTACAGATGAGGAAGGTGAGCCGCAGTGGCCGTCACATAGCAAACAGAAGACGCGAGACTTGGACGTGGCTGTGTCTGGCCTCTGGCTGTAGAATAGATTTGGGAGGGGCCTGGGGTAGCAGTTTTCTGGTGCCTCTGTGCTGTTCATTGCACACTCCCACGTCAGAGGCCCACGCTCACGTTTGTTGAGTTTACCGGTTCCCTCATCTGTCTTGCTGATTTCAGTTTAGTTCAGAGCCTGGTAGAAAAGTGAGAAAAAAAAAATTGAAAGTGCGGTTCATTCCCTGACAGGGAGGTCTATGGGGGCTGGGAGCTTTGCAGAGCCCTTCAGCTCATCCTTGAGGGTGTGGGGAGTTGGTTGAATTAAGCGACACAGGCACCAGTGCGTGCGAGGTATTCACCTTGAATTAACAGACGGTTTGACCTGGGGCGACCGTCCAAGTGCTGTTTTCTAGGCACACCGTTGGTTGTGGTCACCAGCAATGCAGCAGAGCTCTGAACTTACCCCTCCAGTCTGAGGGGAACTTTGTATCCTAAGCTCAGCCTTCCCACCCTGCCGTGCCCCCTCTTCCACTCCTAGCTTCTGGTAACCACCGTTCTACTCTGTTCCTGTGAGACTGGCTATTTCAGATCCTGCTTGTGAGTGAGATCTGGCAGAATTTGTTTTTCTGTGCCTGGATCCTCCATCTATGACCCCTGAGGAGGGAGTGGGTTCAGGGCAGCAGGGCAACACCCTGTAGGGTTAGTGGTCATTTTCCCATTGTCCCAGCTTTGCCTGTCACCTGCTGAGCAGTTTGGGTCAAGACGATTAACCTCTGTGGTACAGAGATTCCTTTTCCTATTGGACAAGAGATAATAGTGCTGCCTTCATGGGGTTTTGGTGAGGATTAAATAAGTCAACATCTAAGTGCTCCCTGCAGTTATCTGCCACATAATAAAAACCATATAATGCCTTTCTTTATTGTTTTCGTTACTTAGGCTCCCACAATAGGGTTCTTAGATCCGAGAGGCTGTTTCTCAATGGGAAGCTTTCTCTTTTGTTCTGCCTTTTGATATCTAGTTCTTCCCAGTTTCTGGGTTTATGTTGGTTCTTGGCTAATCCAACATTAAGGTACTTGACATCCTGATGAGAAAGGTTGAGAGGAAAAATTGCTGCTGTCCAACTGGGTACCCACATGAAGATGTACAGGAATGGTCATGGAGGAGACTAAGAGGTCTTGGTTTCCAGGCTTGCTTACCTGAGATGTGGGTGCCAGGAAAAGGCATCCGTGGACTGTGACTTACCCCTTCGACGCACTCTTCAGGGCCACTGGTACCAGTCTTTGGAAAGGCAGAGCAAGCAAAATAATTGTGCCCCTTGATTATTTTCATGCTGGCTCCCTGGAAACTCTGGCAGGAACTTGCATCAGAGTCTTTCCCCAACAGTAGCACACCCCTCCATGTCACCAGCTGCACTGTCCACACTGCTTCCACCAGAGGCACTAGGGATGCTGGGGTTGGATGTGAGAGTGTGGGTTGGCCTGCCTGAGTTTGAATCTCTACTTCTCCACTTGGCTGATTGAATTTCCACAGACAGCTCCTTAAGCCCGCTGAGTTTCAAACATCTCATCTGTAAAGCAAAGATAATACAAGGGGTAGACCTTGTTGGGTACCTTGTGGAGTTCCAAGCAATGTGAGTACTTAGCACGATCTGGGACCAGCACTCTGTGCAGATAGATGAGTACTTGGGCTACACATCGGGCCCGTTTGGAGTCCCGTTAAATCCCTTCTCTTTAAAAGGTGGTCTACAGCTGCAGCCACATCGCCAGGGGGCTCCTCTGAGTCCAACCTGCTGACTTAGATTCTGCACTCGAACAGAGCCCCAGGTGATCCTCGCAGGCGACCTCTCTTAGCTCATAGTGAGCTAAAATGTACAGGGCAGGAGGCTGGTCCTCACTGATCATGGAAAGCTGTGGGCAGCAGCAGGTTTGGTGCAGAAGGAAGGAAATCAGTATCAGGAAGCAGACTGTCCTGTGCGTCTCAGCTGGACATTCTTGGACAGTGACATCACCCCCAGGATGGAATTTCTCCCGTGAAAATGACTCACCTATTTTAGAGGTGTGTTGACAGGACAAAATGTGAAAACTCACATGGGAGTCAAGAATAAGTTATTTTTATCTTGTTTATGTAGCAAAAGGACATCATAATTCCTATAGCTGTTAACATAATTTTCAAAGAATTCAGCTCCCTGTTTTCCACATTTACTTGCCGAGTGGAGATGGATGAGTCATGTTAGTTGCTGTCCTGGTTAAAACAGTGGGAATGACTGGTCCAGGAGCCACAAGCCTGGTAGTTTTGGACACTGAATGGGAGAGTGTTGCAGTTTGCTAAAAAGCATTGCCCTAGAAAAGACCGTCATCGTGACCAATGGGACTTCCACTCCATTTGCAAAACAGCACCATAAGTGCACACAATGCACACCGGCCATGTGCAGAAGCCACCAGCGGGACTCCAGGTGCCACATTTCAGTGTCAGACACATTCAGCAGTCACAGAAGCCTTTTATTATTTCCAAATTTCACAATCAAAGCAAAAAACAAATCATTTTGCTTATATTAGCAGAAAATCTCCAAGTACAAAAAAGCCACAATATTTTCCAGAAAAGCACATAACTGCACACCAAAGATACTACATAACACTGAAGTCCAGGATGGGGGGCAATGTGAGGAACCCAGAAGTTACAAACTGTAGTTACCCAGGCAGGGCTAGAGCTGGCGAATGTGAGTCCCACTCAGGCAGTCTCCCTCGGTGCTCTCAGGAGTGGATCGCATCACGTGACCAGGCACAAGCATTGATAATGGGGCTCCCGGCTTTAACACCTAGTCACACAAAAGGAGCGGTGAGCCACAAACCATTCTCATTCACAGACGATGTGCAAGAGGTCATGTGACAGTGACATGATCATTACAAGCAAATAAACAGTTCCCAGGAATGGCACCCAGTCAATTTCGCAATTCCTCAAACTATTTGAAAGACCGTAAAGCAATTTCTTGTGGTCCTGCCACCCACAGTTCCCTCTCGTTTTAAAAGCAGAAAAGGAATATTAGAAGTCATATTTTACAATAAAATAAAAAGAGGTACATCGTGAGATAGCAAGGTTTTAAAATCCAAGAACACAGACATACTCTGATAATCCAAAGCACTTTGTCTTTTGTTGGAATTTTGAAGGCTGCCTTAGACTTAAAGCACAGCAGCATAGAATTGACTCATCTACAGGCTGGAGGGGAGGCTGGTGGGGGGCGTCGGGGTACGAAGTGAGAACAACACAGCGTGGCCGCCTTTGCCAAGGGTTACATGTGTTGGGAGAACGCTTTCCTGTTCACAGATGGGCAAGTAGAGCTGCAGTTGCCCGTGGACTAAATGCAAAGCTGTGTACAGTGCTGACCCCTGGAGGCTGTGAGAGTTTTGAGCCACTCATGTGGCTCAAGAGGGTGCTCCAGTCTGGTCTGACTTGAAGCACGAAGACAGGAGTGTGGGGGCAGGCGGCAGGCAGCGGGCAGGCGGCAGGCAGCCATCACAGACCCTGGCCGGTGGGAATGCATGCAGACAGCACCCGGGGCAGGCTTCGCCGACTCGTGGGCAGTGACCGTTTGGGAAAGGACAGTGTGACTTACCCACATTGGAGTCCTATTGGAGAGCCTATCGTGCCCTATTTTCCCCATCAGCTTAAAAACTAAAGGATGATCATGGCTGTGAACCTGTTGTTTGCATCTTCCAAGACTTCTCTCCCCTTTTCCTTCCTGAACATCTGGGCTGGCTGGAGGGTCAGAGGAGACCAGGCTGGTGACCGCTTCCGCTGGCCCTGGCACCCTAGCCCAGGTTCATCCTGTTGCAGCCACAGAGGATCTCCTTGAAGGTGTTGCGCAGCTCCAGGCTGTGGAAGGCGTAAATGAGGGGGTCGATGACGGAGTTGCACATGATGAGAACCAGGTAGGTGTTGAAGTGCGCCGTGTAGCAGATGCAGTAAGGGTTGGCGGGGCAGGTGATAATGAGCACCAGGTGGAGGAAGAAGGGGGCCCAGCAGAAGATGAAGACACCCAACAGGATGGTGATGGTGACAGCCCCCTTCATACATGAGTGCTGCTGCGGGGCCACCCCATCAGCGGGTGGCAGAGCCGCGATGCGCTTGATGTGCAGCCGGGCGAAGAGGAACATGTGCACGTACAGGGTGCCCATGAGCAGCATCATGGCAAAGAACATGGTGATGAGGCACACGATGACCATCTTGCTCTCGGAGTAGACGATGAAGACCACGCCGCAGACGCCACAGCAGACCCAGATGCCCACGATCAAGGTGAGGGCCTTCCGCACGGTCATGATGCTGTGGTAGCGGAGTGCGTAGAAAATGGTGACGTACCTATCGACGGCGATGGCCAGGAGGTTGCAGATGGAGGCCACCAGGGAGATGCAGATCATGGAGTCGAAGACGTTGTCCATGTGCTGGAGGAACTGGTCCTCGAAGGTCAGGTAGTTGCTGTTGACCACGCCGATCATGATGGTCTCCAGGGCATTGGACACGCTCACCAGCATGTCAGCCGCCGCCAGACTGCAGAGGAAGAAGTACATGGGCGAGTGCAGGTTGCCATTGCGGACCACGGCCAGGATCACCAGGATGTTTTCCAGCAGGCTGAGGACGCCGAGGGCCAGGAAGACCCCCGGCTTGATGAAGACCTGCTCGCAGAACCTGCTGCTGCTCTGGTTGCCGAAGGAAGGGGCTGCCAGGTGCTCTGAGCCGTTGGTCAGCGTCAGGTGGGCAGAACGCAGGCCACACGACGCATTCATTGCTCACGGACTGGCTGCTCCGAGCTGGGGCTGCTGCACGGTCTGCAGGAACCTGCTGGGGCTGCTGGCAGGAAAGGGGAAATCTCCTTCCGGATAATTCTTTTGGATGCTTGTCCAGAGCAGAGTTAGAGGTTGTTCTCCAGAATAAAAGGGAAAGAAAGGTGGGAGGCAGAAAGTTAGCCACTTGGAGACACGCGGGAAACTTTCCTCTGTCCTGGGGGAGCTGCTTATTAAAGACTCTCATCAGCCGCTCTCTGTCCCTCTGACCCCCGAGCGCTCTCTTTCTTTCCTTGCTTCCCCGCCTGTCACTGGTTGCTACAGCTACCGTTCTTTCCAAAGCAAGCCAGAGATGTGGTGCCTGTCACTGGCAGTGAGGGGAGAGCACTCAGGTTTTATACATCGGCGGAGGGCAAACAACTCCTACCTAATCTTCAGCGCAGCAAAATGACCACTGAGCATCAGGCACCTCTCTGAGTGACAGCAGGTTCCTGGCTGCTGGGCTCTGCAGAGACTGGGAAGCAGGCTGGCGCCCTCTGTAGGCCAGACCCGTCCCCGTCTTGCTGGCGCCGCTGAGTAGTTTGTATTTGTCATGGAAACAGCCGGCCACAGGCATCTGTCTGTTCCTCTGTTCATTCATTTGTTGCCCCCCCCCCTTTTTTTTAATAGACACATATTGAGCACCTACTATGTGTCAGGTCTCTGCTGGGTGCAGGAAATACAGGACAGAGCAAGACAGCTGCTCTTTCTTTTCCTAGTCTTTCCCAAACCCAGTCTGGGGTGGAAGCAAAGTCAGCAGTTGCAAGCAAGCCTCAAGGATACTGCAGCAAAGGGGATGTTGCAATACAGAGAGCCACATGAAGATTTCGGTTTCCCAGTCGATATAAAAGCTTTTTTTTTGGACACCCTAGTGGAGTCTATTAAGCATGGAATAGTAGTCTGTCTAAAAATGTACACATCTCAGTTTAAAAATACTTTTTAAAAAAGATTTATTTTATTTATTTGAAAGACAGAGTTACAGAGATAGGTAGAGACAGAGAGAGAGAGGTCTTCCATCTGATGGTTCACTCCCCAGATGGCCACAATGGCCGGAGCTGTGCCAATCCAAAGCCAGGAGCTAGGAGCTTCTTCCAGGTCTCCCACATGAATGCAGGGGCCCGAGGACTTGGACCATCCTCTACTGCTGTTCCAAGGTCACAGTAGAGAGAGAGATGAATTGGAAGAGGAGCAACTGGGACTAGAATTGTCACCCATATGGGATGCCGGTGCTTCAGGCCAGGGCTTTAACCCGCTGAGCCACAGCGCTGGCTCCAACTTAAAAATACTTAATTGTTGGCTGGTGCTGCATCTCACTAGGCTAATCCTCTGCCTGCGGCGCTAACACCCCGGGGTTCTAGTCCTGGTTGGGGCGCTGGATTCTTTCCCAGTTGCTCCTCTTCCAGTCCAGCTCTCTGCTGTGGCCTGGGAAGGCAGTGGAGGATGACCCAAGTGCTTGGACCCTGCACCTGTATGGGAGACCAGGAGGAAGCACCTGGCTCCTGGCTTTGGATCGGCGCGGTGTGCCGGCCATAGCAACCATTTTGGGGGTGAACCAATGGAAAAGGAAGACCCTTCTCTCTGTCTCTCTCTCTCACTATCCACTCTGCTTGTCAAATAAAAAAATACTTAATTGCTAAAAAATGATCACAATCATTTGAGCCTCCTGTGAGTCATAATCTTTTTGCTATGGAGGGTCTTGCCTTTGTGGTGGTGGCTCCTGATGGGTCTTGGAGTGGTTGCTGAAGGCTGGGGTGGCTGTGGGTATTCCCTAAAATAAGACAATGAAGTTGGCCTCACCAATGACTCGCTCACTCCTTCTTTCCTCCCTTCCTTCCTTTCAAGATTTACTATATTTTATTTGATAGAGTTACAGAGAGGGAGAGGGAGAGAGACAGAGAAAGATAGTTCTTCCATCTGCTGGTTCACTCCGAAGGTGGCTGCAGTGGCTTGGGTGGGACCAGGCCATAGCCAGGAGCTTCCTCCCGTCTCTCATGTGGTTGACTGGGGCCCTGACACTTATGCCATTCTCTGCTGCCTTTTCCAGGCCATTAGCAGGGAGCTGAACCAGACGTAGAGGAGCTGGGGCTCGAACTGGTGTCCGTATGGGATGCTGGCATCGCAGGCGCTGGCTTTAGCCACTTCACCACGATGCAGGTGCCACCTCCTTTAATTTTCCTCTGTAGATGCAATGCTGTTAATAGCATTTTCACTCAGAGCAGAACTTCCTTTAAAACTGGAGTTCACGCTCACCAATTCTGCTCTTGCCTCATCAGCTCAGTCCATGTCACACAGTATCACAGCATGATGCGTGCCTGAATCAGGGCTGTCCAGGGTATGGGGAGGCATGGGAGGGCCTTACTCCTGCAGGGTCAAGGGGAGTTCCAGGAGGAAGGAGATCCTGGCTTAACGTCTAGGAAGAAGAGGTGATATCTGTTGGGGTTTGGCATGCGGGCTGAGGCTGAAGGGGGTTTAAGAAGGCTCCAGGTCGGGGAGGGGGTAATACGCCTGCAACCTGGAGGCAAAGAGCATCCTGGCCCATGGGTGCGGGGAAGCCTCCTGGCACTGGCCCCTCCATGCCTCACCTACCCCCCAGCTGAATCAGAACACTGGGGCAGGGAGGGGTAGGACCTGGACAAGTGTTTTTTGATTTTTGACAGATGAGCGAGGAGGTTTGCTAGGTTTGAGATTGACTAAAGAGGAAACTTGGAGATTCTGAAGCACAGGAAATGGTTATCTCTGGCCACAGCATGGAACTGGGAGATACGATCTGAAAAATGAGATTTCACTAAAAGGAGAGCAGTCCTGGCTTCTGGGGGACAGCATCAATGGTTGCAGGGGTGTGGGCTATGCCCTGGAAGCAATGAGGGTGATGGGAGATGCTTAGGTAGGGCAGGGTGAGATGGGGTCTGCATTTTAGAAAGATTCTGTTTGCAGAGTGGGGAATGTATTGATAGGGGACAAGCCAGGGATCCCAGGGTGGTGGTTGAGGCAAAGATGGGTGAGACAGGGTGGTCTGGAGCAGGAAGGTGTCCATAGAGGAGTGGACAGAGGTACTCAGGGGGTAGCATCATGGAGATCAGAGACTGCTTCACTCAGGGAAAATGGGATAGGGAGCTACCAGGCAGCACTCCCATTTCCCTCCTAAGTAACAGAGAATGTGGGTGACATTTTAAGCTGGAAAATGTGAAAAGCAGAATTTAGCAGGTGTGGGAATGTGGTGCCTGGGAATATGGTTTAGCATATGAACCATATGTGATTTTGCATATGTGTTGAATGAACTTGGAAAACACCAAGTCAGTCCCCTTGCCTCTACACATACAAGCACAGACTCCAAATGGGCAAGTGGTTGGTCCACCCACCAGCTAGTGTGTGAACGAGTGTGGGTGTTTGTGAAATAGAAGACATATGCACGGAAATAGAAGAAAATGCGGAATACTTACAAAACCTCGAGGTGGAGAGATCTTGAGCAGGATGGACAACCTAGAATTTAGAGTAGAAGAAGGCACCCTAGCAAAATCAGAAGACAAACAGCAAGAAAGCATCTGCTGCAGGAGAAATATCGTGTCTCCTACATGCAGAGGCCACTTTCAATCCATTAGGAAAAAGATGAATAGCCTCATAGAAGGTTGGGCAAAAAATATGAATATTAAGTAATTCACTGAATGAGGAAAATGCAAAAGGCTGATAAATGTATGAAAAGATGTTAAACCTTGTGGGGATCCAGGGAAGTGCAAATCAAAGTGAGATTTCAATACCATTTTCCCAGTTAGATACCATATTTTGGAGAGAATGCTGGGAGACAGACTTGCACGTGTGCCAAGTGTTTGTGAATGGTTTCACCATTTGGCTGCTTCTACCAACATAAAAGCTGCCCATGGGTACAACTGTCAGCCTGTGACCTGAGTACCACTTCTGCCTGTTTTCCGGAGAGCAACTTGATTGCTGAGGCTTGAGGACCCTTGGCGTTCCAGGCTTGAGGAAAGCATAGTCTTGGTCCTCTGGGCACTTTCCCTCACCCCAGGGTCCCATCCCCAGATGCATTTATGTGGTCTTTGGCACGTGGATTCTGGGGCACTGTTTTCACTTGCAAAGCCAGTCGGTGAGGCGGGGACAGCTCATCGTCCTCCAGGCCTTTCCCTGCTCTGGGTGTGGCTTGGGCTAAGCTCGGTGGCTTCCATCTTCTGGCTGTGTGCCTCTTTTGGAGAGAGCAGACGGGACTTGGCGCTCCAAACCCCTATCCACAGAGGGATCCTCCGTGCTGACAAGTGCTGGTTCAGCTTTTTCTGCACGTGACTTCCTGCATTCCTGGGGGAGCCACACGACTGCACCCTTGCATTTTAGTCAAATGCTCCATAAATGAACTGGCTTTATTCTCAATAATTGAGAGACACAGCTGTCTCTGTTGGGGTTTACCATATGTTGTTGGCACGTGTGGAGTGCCTGATTTTAATCTGCTATGATAAATTATAGCAAGAAGGGATAATCCATGCAGGGGTCCCGCTGCCTGAGAAGCTTCTGTGTTTGTGCCTGGTGCACTCCTCTTATCCTTCAGGATTCAGCTTAAATGTCAACTGCTTTTCACAGCTTTCTTCAAATTTCATACCAGTTTCCCACCCCCAACGTATCCCCTGCCTCCAAGCAGATGAGGTTCAGCGTTCCTTGCTCACTTAGAAACATAAGGATGGAAGAAAACAAATATGATTTGGACTTCTCCAAAACTGAAAATTTTTTATTTTAAAAGATGCTACCAAGAAATTGAGAAGTCAGCCAATAGAATGGGAGAAAATAATTCCAAATCAAATATCTGGGAAGGGACTTGTAAAGAGAATATGTTAAGGATCTTTGCAACTCCAAAAAGATAAATTACCCAATTAAACATAGTCAGCAAGTTACCTGAATAGACATATCACCAAAGAAGAGGTCCATTGTCCAACAAACACATGAAAAAGTATACAAAACCATTAGCTGTTAGGAAAATACTGCAACATACTAGAAACCATTGAATTGTACACTTTTACAATATGGTAAATGAATGTTATCTCAGTAAATCTGTTTACAAAGTGAGGTGCAGAATGCTGTGTAACTAGAAGTCACATCCACACTGAAGAAAGGGGCAGCACTGGCCGTGGTCGTCTTGGAACACGTGGTTGTGTTATCACCAAGCTGAGCTTTCCTGTGGAGCAGAGGCCCCTCGCTGGACACTTCCCGGTTCCCGCTCTGAGTCAACTCACTTGTGTATTCCAATATAATGTCTCCATCCATGTTCTGCTGCAGGGTCCGCCCTGATCTGTGTGTGTGTTGTGTGTGTGTGTGTGTGTGTGTGTGTGTGAGAGAGAGAGAGAGAGAGAGAGAGAGAGAGAGAGAGAGAGATTTCTCACCTGGCAATTCAGCCTGAGATTGAGAGGGACTTACAGCTCTTTCCTAACGAGAGCAGAGCCTCCTATCTGTCCTTTAGGTGGGCAACAGCAGATTCTGAATAGCAAAAACCTTCATCTGTTTTAATTTTGTTCTATGCATTCTTTTTTTTAAAAGATTTTTTTCTTTCTTTTTTTTAACTTTTATTTAATGAATATAAATTTCCA